AATATTATTCAATTTATGATCAACAGACCAAACAAAAAATCCATTAAAATCCCATGCTTAAATACTAGAGTAGGCTGGTGCTGCGGCTCAATAGGCTAATCCTCTGCCTGTGGCGCCGGCACACCGGGATCTGGTCCCAGTCAGAGCGCCGGATTCTGTCCCGGTTGCTCCTCTTCCAGGCCAGCTCTCTGCTGTGGCCAGGGAATGCAGTGGAGGATGGACCAAGTGCTAGGGCTCTGTACCCGCATGGGAGACCAGGATAAGCACCTGGCTCCTAGCTTCGAATCAGCGCAATGCACCGGCTGCAGCACACCGGCCACAGCGGCCATTGCGGAGTGAACCAACGGCAAAGGAAGACCTTTCTCTCTGTCTCTCTCTCTCACTGTCCACTCTGCCTGTCAAAAAAAATTAAAAAAAAAAAAATACTAGAGTAATTGAAACTGAGTCTCTCTACAGCTGGCATGCAAATGCTAGACGTTATCAGGTCCTAGTTTCCCATGGTCTCCTAGGCTCCCTTCCTTGGCTTAAAGTTTCCTTGCCCTGCTTTTATGATAGCAAAACAACCACTTACTAAAATTAACTCAGTGAATGGAGGGAGGGGTGCAGCCAGCCCTACAGGCTCCCTGATTCCAAGATTCATGAGGTCATTTATCTTTCCTACAGATAACATCTTGATGTTCAGCCTTGTCTTAAGGGCTTTCTCAGGAACCTCAACCCTGAGCAAGAAGGATCTTTTACTGACTTCAGCTCACTTTTCCATGATTTCCCAAATTTCCCAAAGAGCATATTACTGATGAATCAGAAGAGGGCCATTAACACTGCAGACCAACCAGGTACCCACACAGGATCCAAGCACACATCTCATCTCTGACTTCAGTCTATAAAGAACCTTTACACCTAACACCTCAGAGAGTCTTGGAATCAAGCAGTAGCTTCCCACCTCCTTGCTCTACACTTCGCGATAAATAGCTACTTTCTTCCATCACACAGACATCAGTGATTGGCTTGCTGTCCATTGAGTGAGTGGACCCAGGTTTTGGGGTTTCCAAAACATAATAATTAGACTATATAATGCAGTTGATTGGTACATTTGTGGATAATATTTTCAAGTTATGTCAAAGGACAAAATAAATAAAGTACAAGAATATAATTAGGATATAAATATCAGATGACGCTGATCTTTGAGGAAAAGGAAAACTATGGGCTAAGCAAAGAAAATATAGTGATTTTAAAAAACAAAAACCAAAAAACTCAAGAGAATAAATGTTAACATTTGTTCTTTGTGATGGTATCATCAATACTCATTATTTTTTACATTTTAGGACTGGCCTTCCCAAATATTAATAAATTCAGGGAAGGAATCTCATTAATCTATAAAAGGATCTTATGAAAAATATTAATATATTCATGAATTATTAAAATAGTTACCATCTAATGCTTATTAGCCACTTATAAATGATTTTAGGAGCAAGCATTTGACACAGCATTTAATAAGCCATTTAGTCACATCCTTCTTCAGAGTGTCTGAGCTCAAGTCCTGGTTCCAGTTTCCTGAAAATGTGCACCTTGGGAGGCATCAAGTGATAGTTCAAATACTTGGGTCCCTGCCTCCGATAGAGGAGACATAGACGGGGTTCCAGGCTCCTGGTTGCAGCCTGTCCCAGTCCTAGCTGTTGCAGGCGTCTGGGGAGTAAATCACTGATGGAAGATTTCTCTTTGTCTCTATCTCCATTTCTGCCCCCCCCCCATGGCTGTGAGACAGAGGGTCGATAGATAATAAATAGATAAAATATTTTGGAGATACTACACCATCCTTAAGTATCCTATCCTGAGTCTTTTAGCTATGATCTGCGTCCTGAGCTTCAGAAGCCTTTGAGACTACATGATGTGAACTGCTGCAGTGATTCCTGCCTTTTATTCCAGCGGACTACACAGCATATCCTCAAGTGGGCTTTTGTGCCAAATCCGCACTCTGGTCTTTGAAGCTACAAGTAGAGGTTGATAATCAAATAGCTGAGCAGGACCTGGCATGCCTAGACATGTGGGCAGGTCATCCAGCTTACACTTCCTGCCTTCTGCCAACCTGTTTGGCAAGAGATCTTTGTCCAGACATTAAAGAAAGTATTTTATTGGAAGTGACTCAAAATTCTATGGCAGTGAGGCAGTTTCATATGTTTTCAGTATCATGAGTTCTCTCTCTATTTTGAATTATGAGAAAATCTAACCTAATGGAGAAAGATTTTCTGATTCTGGTTTTATGTTATCTAGTAGTTCCAGAATTTGTATGCTATTCAGAATACATTTTTAAGTTAATTTGTATCTTTTTTTAAAGATTTATTTATTTACTTTAAAGTCAGAGTTACATAGAGAGAGAAGGAGAGGCGCCAAGAGAGAGAGAGAGAGAGAGAGAGAGGGAGAGAGAGAGGTCTTCCATCTGATGGCCTACGCCCCAGTTGGCCGCAACAGCCGAAGCTGAGCCCATCCAAAGCCAGGAACCACCAGGAGCCTCCTCTGGGTCTCCCATGCAGGTTCAGGGGCGCAAGGACTTGGGCCATCTTCTGCTTTCCCAGGCCATAGCAGAGAGCTGGATTGGAAGTGGAGCAGCCAGGAAATGAACTAGTGCCCCTACGGGATGCCCGCACTGCAGGCAGCGGCTTCACCTCCTATGCCACATTGCTGGCCCCAGTTAATTTTTATCTTAACGACAATCACCCAGAGGTCAAAACTGGTAAACTTATTAAATAAGTCTGTATATTCTTTGTCCCTCCTTTTTTTTTTTTCTTTTTTTGGGGACAATTCCCTTTTCCAAATAATACCAGCCACTCATCAAGTTGAGTTACTCTCTGTGCCTTGTTAATAGAGGCCTGGTAGCCAGATAGCAGTCGGAGAAATCCTCCTCCGGAAGGCAGACTCTTTTCTTGGACTGTCTTACAATTCAACTGAATCGCTGGATTTCGTCATGAGAGCCGTATACATGTTTTTACCTGAAGCAGGAGCATTTGGGTTTACTTGTTGCTTGCCAATCTGCTTTGTAACAGTTCTCATCATGAAACTGCTTCTGGACTTGTAGGGAGTGGGCAAACTCAGATATGACCAAGAGAAGGAAAAAAAAATTCAAGACAGGAGTCAAACTGCAGAGGGGAATAAACTCAGAGCATGTTTCTCTTAGCTGTTCCTGAGGGGCTTAGCTCGGAAACCAAGCCACGTTTGGCAAAACCACAAGACCAGCAAACTGTCTGAAGCTGGTGTTGCCTACCTCTTCTCCTGGCCCTCTCTCTCCTCTCTCATCTTCCTATTCCCATGGAGGCCGGCACTGCCCTTCACAGTGACTCATACAAACTTGGGAAGTGGCCAAGGCTCCAAAAAGATACTTCCTTCTGCCCCCACAGCCAAATCCTGTTGCTGTAGTACTGAGGTCTGAGATGTTAACACTGGAATGAAGTCATGGCTTGATAACTCGCTAATGATCAGTGATGACTCTACACGGTCTTGTCTGCAGAGCTGTGTACAGTATCTCTGATCTCTCCGTGGGCCTCACGTTGTATTCCACCCTCCAGATCATTCCAGCACCATTCACGGACCTGAGACACTGCAGCATCACTAAGCAAATCTGCAGCCAAGCCCAGAGCGCCAGCTCTATCAAACCTGCTGTGATGTTCACCCTGATTGATACACCCAGGTATAGGACCCAGAATATTAGGAAATAAGTAAAGACTGCTATGAGAATGACAAAGGACCAGATGTACTGTATGTGTTTAGGGCCCCTAATCTGTTTGGTGTCCCTCACCGGAAATGGCACAAAATGGAGACAGGGCAGAAATACCCACCTTTCTCTTCCAAAAGCTATCTTCTCAAAAGAAAACAAGTTAGAGAAAACAAGCCACGTTGACTTTGTCTTCTTGCGTATTTCAGAGGACATGGCAATAAAAAGATCATAGATAAATTACAATACTGGAAAAGTACTCTCTGTGGCTCAGAGCCCTGAGAACACTTTGAATGTCATAACAATTCCACAAACTCCTCTAGGCTTTCAGAAGGGATTATCCTGGGATTTGGGGGAGGGAGTCATAGTCTAGTTAATGACGGCCCTAGAAAGTCTTTTTTTTTTTTTTTCAAACATTTGACAGCCCATTCCAATACTTTTTGTAAGAAAGTCATGTAAAGAATGTGCAAAATATTTTTTACAGTGAATATTGAAAGATGGAATTGCTCTTGATCAGATTTTTTAAAATGTATTCAGAAGTCCTCTTCCTAGAATTCAGAACAAAGCTTGGATATCTAAAGTCTGTTTCTGAAGCATCAGTTAAAGACTTTAGAATGCATCTTTGAGAACTAAACTCAAAATAAATCCAGCAGGAGGATTATATGGTAAATATACAGATGTTTGGATTGAGGCTTTTTGTGTACCTAGAAGTAGCATGTACATGAAAGAGGATTGACTAACAAATGGGCACGGGTTTGATCTCACTATTGAACTATCTGTGGGATATTCTAGCTTCCTTTTGTAATATATGTGAACAAGTGTGTGCATGTATGATGCATGGCTAACAAAAACTAATGTACTATGAAGTGAATATGAATTTTAAAGAGTTTGAGTGATTTTGTTTTCCTGTTAAAAAGTCACAGTCACCCAATTACCACTGTAACCTTTCATTCTGAGTTATTTGTTAATAACTTAACAAAGTATCATTAAGGAGCAATAATATATTTTACACTGCTCCTTGTAGGAAAACAAGAGGTAGACTGTGAAAGGACTCAGAAAAAGCCACCCTAAAATATGCCACTTTGCCACATTGATTAATTTGAGCTGAATTGAGCCACTGAGAAGCAGGGAATCAGGAAGTACTTTTACTTTCCTCTTCTTTTTTCCCCAGAAACCTTTGATTTAAGGTGTACAAACTCCACGAATTTCAAAAATACAGCTTTAAGAACATAGTGATAGTGATTCTTCCCAACATACCCACCCTCTCACTCCCACCCCCACCCTTCTTCCTCCTCCCTCTCCTATTCCCATTCTTATTTTTTTCCAAGATCTGTTTTCAGTTAATTTTATACGCAGAAGATTAACTCTATACTAAGTCAAGATTTCAAAAAACAGTATGGAAAAATAAGTTTCTCAACAGTTTTTTGATTTCTCGTTTGATTTCTTCTATGACCCACTGTTCTAAAGACTCTCAAGTTGTTGATCTCCAGCTGCAGTCCACTGTGGTCAGAGAGGACGCATGATATGATTCAGATTCCTTCAAATTGCTGAGAGTTGCTCATGCCCTGGCCTGTGGTCTGTCCTAGAGAAAGTTCCATGTGCTGGTGAGAAGAATGTGTATTCTGCAACTGTAGGATGAAAAGTTCTCTAGATATCCATTAGGTCCATTGGTCTATTGGGTCAAATAACTCTTCTGTTTCCTCACTGATTTTCTGTCTGGTTGATCTGTCCATTGCTGAAAGTGGGGGTATTGAAGTCCCCCATTATTACTGTATGGGGATCTATGTTTCCCTTTAGATCCATCAACATTTCTTTTAAAGAGCCAGGTGCCCTGTAATTAGTTGTGTATGTATTTATTATAGTCACATCTTCTTATTGAATTGATCCCTTATGTAGTGTCCTTCTTTGTCTCTTTTAACAGATGTTGTGTTAAAGTCTGTTTTGACTGATATAAAGATGGCTACACCAGCTCTTTTTTGGTTTCTGCTAGCATGGAAATTCTTTTTCCATCCTTTCACTTTCAGTCTGTGTGTACCTTTGTTGGGGATATCTGTTTCTTATAGGCAGCAAATAAAGATTTTGTTTTTTAATCCCTTCAGCCAGTCTGTAAGGTTTAACTGGAGAGTTGAAACCATTTACATTTAGCTACTATTGATAAGTAACAGCTTGGCCCTGCTGTTTTTTCATAAATATTACTAATGTTTATTTTAGATTTCCTTTGTATCTTTATTGGGAGATTTTCTGCCTTCACCTTCTTTCAAAGTGATGACCATGTTTCTGTGTGTAGCACATCCTTAAGCATCATATGTAAGGCTGTATGAGTGGTGACAAATTCTTTCAATTTCTGTTTGTTATGAAAGGTATTTATTTCACATTCATTCATAAATGAGAGCTTTACAGGGTACAGTATTCTGGATTGACAGTTTTTTTTTCCCTCTTAAGACTTGAAATATATCTCATCATTCTCTCCTAGCCTGTAGGGTTTCTGATGAGAAATCAGCTGTGAATCTAATTGGAGATCCTTTGAGAGCAATCTGGCATTTCTCTCATGCACATTTTAGAATCTTTTCTTTATGATTTACTGTGGAGAGTTTGATTACAATGTATCATGGTGAAGATCTTTTCTGATCACGTCTATTAGGAATACTGTGTGCTTCCTGTACTTGGACATCCCTTTCTCCAAATTAGGCAAGTTTTTCTGTGATTATTTTACTAAAAATGCCTTCTAATGTATACTCTCTTTCCACGCCTTCAGGACCTCCTAAGACCCATATATTGGGTGGTTTGATAGCATCCCATAGATCTCCAACATCGTTTTTTAGTTCTCTAACTTCTTATTTTTTTATCGGACTGTAAAATGTCCAGAGATTTGTCTTCTAACTCAGATAGTCTTTCTTCTGCCTCACCAAGTCTGCTGTTAAGGCTTTCCATCACATTTTTTATTTGTTCTATTGAATTCTTCATTTCCAATATTTTATTTTGATTTCTCTATAAAAATCTCAATTTCATGGCAAAACTTTTCTTTCATGTCACGTACAGATTTCTTTGTGGATTTGCTTCTGATTACTTCCAATCATTTCTGGCATTTCTTCAATTCTTCATTCTTCACATTGTAGTATTCAGCTGTTGTGTCCCTTTGGGCACATCATGTTGTCTTCCTTATTCTTGAATTGCTACATTTATTTTTAGCCATTTGCAGAGATACTTGTTGGTTTATTTTTTCCCCCTGTGATGGCTTTTACCTTTGTTCTATGCCTCTGAGGATTAGTGGAGTGTCTTCTTTTTCAGTGAATACCCTGAGGCATGTGCTGGGTTGGCCAGGGAGCTCTGTTCAGTTCTCTAGGGTAAAAGATAAAGTGTTCCAAGGTGACTTCTAAATTGGACATGGTAAATCAGTCAATCTCTCTCTTTCTCTCGCTCTCTCTCTCTTATCATCAAGGAAATTTGTTCAGTTCTGTTGGGTAGTCTCATACCTCCCTTCCTCCAAGGAGACCAAAGCTGGGGCATTAGTCCCAGTGAGTATAATATTCATCCGTGCTGGGACAAGAACTGCACAAAAGATCTGCACCGTCCTTGGTGTGAGCACAGATCCTGCAGCAATGACCCTCACCAGGGAATCAGGGAGCCCTGAGCATGTGGAACCACTCACAGTGACTGCCCAAAGACCCAGCCACACCATCCACCCTCAAACACTGCTACAGTGTTTTCACAGTTCCAGCACACAAGACTCCCACAGTCATGAGTACCAAGCCCCCTGTCAATGCCCCTAGCCAGACTCAGGTGTCTCCTCTTGGTTGGTTGCTGGGCATGCAGGTACAAGCTGATGCAGCTGTTACCTATGTCCAAAATGATGCCTATCTGCTCTCTGCTAGTTACAAGACATTGGTGCCAGGTGGTCAGGGAGAGAGAACTATGCCCCCTTTCTTTCCTCTCAGTTGGCGAGTATACTGTCCATCTTAAGACTCCAAGCCAGACTCACAGTAGGCTCTTTCCTCAGCTTTATCACCAGTGGCTTGGGCTGCTGCAATCTGGTTTCACTTCACCCGCCAAAGCTGGTGCTGAGGCTCTCGGCTGCTGGGATCCAGAATTTTGCTCATCCACACTCTCCACGTTGGTCCACAGTACCCCTCTAATTTATGTAGAGTTTCCACTGCCATTTTCTCCCCCACTCTTCCCTGAGACTGTACTCTCTCCATTTTTTAAAACTATCTTCCCCTAGACTAGAGCAGTAAGCTCCCTTCCTAGTCTGCCATCTTGGTGCCTGCCACTCTCCTGCTTTCTACCTTGAAGTAGGGTATAAATTTCTTATGAGAAAGGTGACTTCCCAGTACCAGGTTGAATAGAACATTCTTATCACCAAGAATGAGGAACTGATGCCGATGAGTCTGTACAAATGAAGCTTACTAAAACAACTCTCATCTTACACTAATTTCCCCCATATACTTGCCAGTTACTTTCTTATAATTTACCACCCATAGCCCCAGTCCCCTCTCTTTTGTCTTGTCATGTCTCCAGAGTATTCTGCTCTTTGTTAGAATGGCACACAGGTATTTCCCTTCTACATGTAAAATTATTAATATCAAATACAATCCCTCCTTTTCTCCTTTTTGAATGCAGTTTATAAGCTTCTGCCACAGAACCTAAGGAGCTAGAGGATTATATATGAGAGATTTAGATTGCATATGAGAGATTTAGATATGAGCTTCAAGTTATCTCAGAAAAAATTTCAAATGGAAAAAGTATTGATTCATATTCTTCCCTGATGAAATTATCATCTTCATAGCTACCCTTAGCTTGTTAAGAAAACTAAGAGCAACTAGTTTAAGCAAAAGAAAACAAAAACAGGGGTAGGTGTTGTGGCACAGAGAGTTAAACTGCGGTTTGGGAAGCCAGGATCCCATATGGGAGTGCTGGTTCAAGTCTTGACTACTCTGCTTCCAGTCCAGCTCCCTGCTAATGTGCCTGGAAAGCGGCAGATGATGGCTCAAATACTTTGGTCTCTACCGCCCACTTAGGAGACCTGTATGGTGCTCCTAGCTCCTGGCTTCTAACATTTGGCCTAGTTCTAGCTGTTGTGGCCACATGGAGAATGAATCAATGGATAGAATATATCTGTTGCTTCCTCTCTCTCTATCAGTGTTCCTTTTCTTTTTATTTGAAAAGAAAAAAGAGATGTATTTTCTCACATAATGGAAAGGTGCAACTAGGTTTAGCTATAACTAGGTCAAGGCAGTTAAAAACCATCATTGGGCCTTAATCTTTTCCATCTTTCCAACTCAAGGCTCTGTTGTTTTTCTTTGTTGGTTGTGTTCATAGATGGGCACCAGCAGCTCCAAACTGGCATCTCTGCCAACATGACAGTCTTAGAGGCAAGAGCAATTCGTTCTCAGTTGTCTCTTTTAAAGACGCCATGGAGCCATAAAATCCATCACAATCCCCATCATGGAATTAGTATGCTGACCAAAGGCATGGGGTACACTGAGTGGCTAAATCTAGGTCATTTATCATACCCTGGAGCTGAGAGTGGGTCACCTCCACACAAACCATGTGGACTGAGGGATAAAGGAAAACCTTTGGTTCCTCGAAGGAAAATAAACCTGTGACTGTCAAAAGAAGATCAAATAAATGCTGAATGAATAAAAAATAGCATTTAACTGATACCACAGAAATAGAAAAGATCTTTGGAAACCATTTTGAATAACTACATGCCAAAAAAAAATGGAAATCCTAGAAGAAATGGATAAATTCCTAGGACCATGCAATCTACCAAGACTAAACCATGAAAAAATAGAAAGCCTGGGCATACCAATAATTACTAATGAGACTGAATTATAAATAAAAGTTGTCTCATTGAAGAACAGTCCAAGAAATGATGACTTCACTGTTGAATTTTACCAAACTTTAACAAAGAACTAAAATCAATTATCTGCAAGCTGTTCTGAAAAATTGAAAGGGAGAAATCTCTTCCAAACTCATTGCAAGAAGCCCACATTCCCTTGATTCCCAAACCAGAGAAGGGCACAGCAACAGTGGCAAACTGCAGACCTTATCTCTGATGAAGATAGAAGCAAAAAATCCTGACTAAAAGCTCCCAAACTGAATCTAATAGCACATAAAAAAAAAGACTATACACACTGTGATCAAGTGAGATTTATCTGAGGATGCAAGTATGGTTTACACACACAAATCAATAAGCACAATACATCCTGTCAGCAAAATAAAGGACAATAACTATATGGTCATTTTGATAGAGGTAGGAAGCATTTGATAAAATTCAACATCCCTTCATGATAAAAAAAACTGCTTACTACAAATTAGGTATTAATGGAATATACCTCAATATAATAAAAGATATATACGATAAATCCACAATTAACCTAATACTGAACAGGGAAAAGCTGAAAATTTTTCCTCAAAGATATAGAACAAAACAAGAATGCCCACTTTTACCACATCAATTCAATGTGATACTAGAAGTCATAGCCAGAGAAATTAGGCAAGAGAAATAAAAGTCATCCAAGTTGGAAAGGAGAAAGCCAAATTAACCCTGTTTACAAATGAGATGATCATATACAGAGAAAAACCTAAACACTGTATTGTAGAACCGTGAAAACCCTGGTCCCTTGCCCGATACACAGCAAGCCAATCACTGACATGAAGGTGCTGGAAGAAAGTAGGCATTTGTTTGTGAAGAGCAGAGCAAGATGTCAAGCATGCATCACTTAATTTCTAGACTCCTCAAGGGGCTAGGGATCAGGTAAGAACCTCCTCCTGGCTTTTATATATTGAAGTTGAGGTTGTGTGGTGTATGTCCTGCCTGAGTTCAGAGTTCTTGTTGGTCTGCAGTGCTCTTGGTCCTCTTTTGATTGGTCAACGATATGGTATTCTTTTGGGAATTTTGCTTATGGCAAAGTGGATTTCTGTCTGTCAGGTGGTAGTTGCTTCTTGTTCAGAGCCTGGGCCTCCTGGAAATACCCCTCAAACCAAGACTCAACAGAAGAATGTTAACTGCAGAGGAGATAAATGACCTTTTGATTCTTGTGATCAGGGAAACTTTTGGGCCAGCTCCACCACTCCCTCAAGTTAGCAAGTTAATTTTAGTAAGAGGTTGATTTTCAATGAAACTTTAAGGTAAGAGAGGTACTCTGATACACTGTGGGAGAATAAGGCCTTATCACATCAATGGCCTTGCAGGGTTGGGTTCCAATTCTACCAAAAAATTTTTAGAACTGATAAATGTATTCAGTAAAGTTGCAAAATATGAGATCAACATACAGAAATCAGTGGAATTTATAAATAACAATAATAAGCTACCTGAAAAAGATTTTTTTAAAAAAATTGATTCCATTTTCAAGAGCTACAAAAATAAAATGCCAAGAGGCAAATTTAGCCAAGGAGGTGAAAGGGTCCTACAATTAAAACTGTAAAACACTGATGAAAAATATTGAAATAGATTCTCCCAAACTATAAGATACTCTGTGTTCCCAGATAGGAAGATTAAATTTTTTAAAATGTCCATCCTACCCAAAGAAATTTACAAAATTAGTGCAATTCTTATTTTAAAAAGTGTCATTTTTTAAAGAAATGGAAAAAAAATCCTAAGATTCAGCATGGAGATACAAAAGATCCCAAATAGCCATATGGTCATGAGCAAAACAAGCAAAGCTAGAGATACCACACTACCTGACTTCAAAATATACTACAAAGTAATAGTAATCAAAACAGCAAGGTACTGGGATAAAAACAGAAACATAGGGCAATGGAATAGAGTAGAGAGCCCGGATATAAATCCATGTATTTATGGTCAGTTGATTTTCCACAAGGGCACAAAGAACATACATTGTAAAAAGGATAATCTCTTTAATAAGTGGTGCTGGGAAAACCAGCAGAGAATGAAACTAGACCCCCATCTTTCACAGTTTGCAAACATCAACTCAAAACAGACTAAAGAATTACATGTGGCCGGCGCCACGGCTCAATAGGCTAATCCTCCGCCTAGTGGCGCTGGCACACCGGGTTCTAGTCCTGGTTGGGGTGCCAGATTCTGTCCCGGTTGCCCCTCTTCCAGGCCAGCTCTCTGCTGTGGCCCGGGAGTGCTGTGGAGAATGGCCCAAGTCCTTGGGCCCTGCACCCCATGGGAGACCAGGATAAGTACCTGGCTCCTGCCATCGGATCAGCGCGGTGCGACGGCCTCAGTGCACCAGCTGCGGCAGCCATTGGAGGGTAAACCAACAGCAAAGGAAGACCTTTCTCTCTGTCTCTCTCTTTCACTGTCCACTCTGCCTGCAAAAAAAAAAAAAAAATCACATGTAAGATTAGAAAATATGAAACTAGAAAATATAGACAAAATCTTTCAGGATTCTAATTTGGGCAAAGATTGTTTGGATAAGACCTTAAAAGCATAGGCATAAAAGCAAAAGTAGACAAATTGGTTCAAATCAAAGTAAGAAATCTATGTATAGCAAAGGAATAATCAGCAGAATGAAGAGACAATCTACAGAGTGGGAGAAAATATCTGCAAACTACATCCAACAAGAATGTCTGTGAGTTGTATCAATTGCGAAAATCAGTGCTTCCTACAGATACCTTCATCGTTGTTGTCTTGTGTCTCTTAAATCTGTTATGGCCACACACAAATTGCAGATATGCTGACTCAACCTGAACAATTTAGTTTGAACAATAAGGAAAGTTATTTAATGACAAAGCAGAAAATCATATGGTGGGTTACACAGTTAACTCATGGGCTCAAGAATTCCAGTTCTTGATATTTGTTGGCTCTCTTATGCTCTATATTATTGTAATCCTCAGAATGGCAAGATCACCATCAACAGCACAACAGACAAAAGATGATAAATTACTTCTATTTGTGGTTCTGTGTTTGGAGAAGGAAAAATTTTTCCAAAAATCCACTCATTCAACATATTTGTATGTCTTCTCACATGTCAGTTTCTGAGTTGAATCCCATGGCTATCTCTGAACCAATCACTGGCAAGGAGAATAGTTTTTATTTATGTGATGAGTAAAGAAAAATCTTAAATAACAAATGATTTTATTGAAACCAGTCATACGCTACCTCTGGGATTGAGAGTGGCATTTGCTTCCCAATATTCATGGCTCCGTAGATTTGGAAGACACTCACTGAGGTTTCCATTATGAAGCAGTAGATTCTGGGTAGATGATAAACATGTCAACTGCGCCTTTTCTTAGAATCGGGTATCAGTTTTAACTAGGACTGCCATTTTCTGTCATCTTTAATCTGTCTGTTTTATAGGTAAGGTAATAGACCAAAAGAAAGTAAATGATACAAATTTGGTATGACCAGTTATAGCCCAGATGTGGTTGTCACCCTTCACTAACTTAATCTTAAGTTATCTGTAGGAAAGGATGATACCTTTTGCTTTTTTGTTCCTGTAGACATTAAAATGGCTCCTCTGCTAGAGTAGAGGCTCAAAATACATTTTATTTGAGATAGTTTAGATTGATTATGAATCTATATACAGAAAATTGTCCTGTCTTCCTAAATCTTTGATTTAGAAAACACTTATACTTTCCTGAACAGCCAATAACTTGAATTATGTATTGAGTAAAAAAACTTCAATAATAAAATGGTCTTTGATCACAGATGACTTGATTGTCTACATAAAACCAAAATAATGAAAAAAATTTGTTTTCCTATATATCAATTTGAACAAGTGGAGTTTGAAATTTAAAACAAAATATCATTTATATTAAAAAAATCTCAAAAATGAAATACTTAATAAATCCAACAACATATATTCAAGATCTAAATGAGGAAAACCACAAAACTCTGATGAAAGAAATTTTTTATAGTTCAAAAAGATGTATGAGCAGAAAAATCCTTATGTATGTATCGGAAAAGTAAATTCTTAAAACAACTTCAAAGCAACCCCTCTGTTATATTTCAGAGTAGAGAACTTGAAAATGAAAGAAAATGAGTTCTTGGGTACATAGATAATAACCTCATTAAGATTGTTACAATAAGAAAGTGTGGGCCGGCGCCGCGGCTCACTAGGCTATCCTCCGCCTTGCGGCACCGGCACACTGGGTTCTAGTCCTGGTCGGGGTGCCGGATTCTGTCCTGGTTGCCCCTCTTCCAGGCCAGCTCTCTGCTGTGGCCAGGGAGTGCAGTGGAGGATGGCCCAAGTGCTTGGGCCCTGCACCCTATGGGAGACCAGGAGAAGCACCTGGCTCCTGTCATTGGATCAGCGCGGTGCGCCGGCTGCAGCACGCCGGCCGCGGCGGCCATTGGAGGGTGAACCAACGGCAAAGGAAGACCTTTCTCTCTGGCTCTCTCTCTCACTGTCCACTCTGCCTGTAAAAAAAAAAAAAAAGAAGAAGAAGAAGAAGAAAGTGTGGACAGAATGCAAAGAGTAAACAAGATAATTTGGAAATGATCCAATCTACTTTTTTATTACCTTTAAAAACAACATGTATAAACTTTCTGCATTTTTCCACTAGGACATTGGGATATGGGGAAGGGAACATTTTAGCAAGTATGTATTTCAAAGCCATACCAGCAGATAGAACAATTTTCCTAAAATGTTCATTAGCAAAATATGGGAGATATATGAGAGATTATGTAGCAAAGAGCCCTGAATTTGGAACCTTATGCCAATTAGTAGCTGTGAAATCTTGAGTAAGTTACTTGCCTCTCGGAATCTCAAATTAACAAACTGTAAAATAAGGATACAGATGTTGTCCTGATTACGTAGTAGTTGAGAAAATGGAATACGATATGCACTAAGTGTGTGTAGTGCCATTCCTGATACAAAATAGATACTCGACAAATGAGTAAATTACAGTATAAACCACACTGCTGCAATAGAGGCCCCAAAACACAAGGAGTCAAATGGTGGTTCATTTCTCTCATTTAATGGTCCCAAATTGGTGAGGGAGTTCTATTTGGTGACATTGTCCTGAAATCAAGTGTTGCTTCTGCCCTTTTTAAAAAAAGTTATTGAAAACCAGAATGGCACATACATAGGAAAGAGAGAGAAAGAGATCTTCCATCTATTGATTTATTCCCCAAATGGGTGCTACAACTGGGACTGGACAAGACAAATCAGGAGCCAGGAGCCAGGAGCCAGGAACCCTCTCCAGGCCTCTCCTATAGATGGCAGGAACTCAATCCACTGCTTTCAAGTGCATTAGCAGGGAGCTGGATCAGAAGCAGAGTATCTGATACTTGAAACAGTGCTTTGATACAGTATGTGGGCATCCCAAGCAGTGGCTTAACCCACAGTGCCTCAGTGCCTCAGTGTCTGCTCCGTTTCTGCCATTCTTTGAATCAAGTTTGCCATTGTGGTTGTAATCATTATCCAGCCAGAGGAAAGAGAGAAAGAGGCACCTCAAGCAAGCAGCTTTCCCTTATGCATGTGTCATTTCTACTCACATCCCATTGGCAAAGCTTGATCTTTTATAGGCCACATCTCACCGTAAGGGATGCTGGGAAACAGTTGGCAGCCACGTAACCAGCCAAAACTTTCTCTTACCAGGAAGAAGAGAGGTTAGCAGCCTCAGCTGTAGTAAGTTTGCCTTACAGCAGCAAACACATCATGAAGGTTGCTTTATTGAAGCTGTCAGAATAAAAGTACTCATGTAAAGACATGAGTATCTTGAAAGCAGATTAAAATTCAGCAACAAATAATTCCAGAGATCATAATGTTCACACATTTATTCATCTTGGCAACATCTATTAGTTGTGGATTCTAATATCTTCCACATGCAGATTCAACCAGCCTTGATTCCTTAGCCACATCTGACCAATACAAAGCATCAGCAGCTGGTTTGGCTTGGTAATAGTCATGTGGTTGTGTTGACCATGACTTGAGGGGAGTCTATGGGTCCCAGTCTTCTCTCGAGGCCCTCCACAGTGCATCCTGCCTTGGCTTCTTTATTGTCTTATTTATGCCTGAGCGTCTTTTTACTTGCTTAACATCTCATTCTGTGGCAGCACCTCGGGCCACAACATCCTTCCTAGGTCTTCCAGCCCTGCTCTCTAGGAAGCCGGATCTTCTCTCTCTAGATACTCAGCTGCTGGCTGGGAGTCTTGCTGCAAAACAAATGCAGGGCTTGAAACCACAATGTTTTTACTTTGTATGTCATAATTTAAGAAAAACTGACAAGCTAGAGAAATAACAGCATACAATACTAACTTTTCTGGAGAGTTCTATGATTCCATAGTAGTTATCTATAACCCCATGGGTTTTTCTTGGAATGAATTCCTGTTAGGAAAGACAGATTCACATAGAGAAACAGAGGCTTATTAACATGAACACTTCATATATACATGGGAGACTCCAGAGAATGAGCAGTGACTGAGAAAGCAGACTTGAAGTCTGACTTGGATAGCATCTTCCACAAAGGAAGGCACATGTGGGGGAAGTGGTAGGACAAAGGAAAAAAACTCTGATTCTATAGGTGCAAAACTTGTAGGGAGGTGAATTAAAATAACAGATAAGGCTGGTTAGTAGCATTTGCTAATATAAAGTCTTCTTGTACCATCCTCAGACTGAAAATTGTCCAGAGTTGTCTTTAGTGACTAATCTTTATTTTCCTGGTAAAGGAGGCAGGGGTAGAGAGGAGGAGAGGAGAGAGCAGGATACCTCATGTTTTTGTAAACAACTCTTCTGCTTTCATGCATCTAAAGGAAGGGCAAGGAGCGTTCCTGTATCTGCTTCTTTTTTTTTATTTTTTTTTTATTTTTTTATTTATTTTTTTTGATAGGCAGAGTGGACAGTGAGAGAGAGAGACAGAGAGAGAAAGGTCTTCCTTTTGCCGTTGGTTCACCCTCCAATGGCCGCCGCTGCAGCCGGCGCACCGTGCTGATCCGATGGCAGGAGCCAGGATCCAGGTGCTTTTCCTGGTCTCCCATGGGGTGCAGGGCCCAAGCACCTGGGCCATCCTCCACTGCACTCCCTGGCCATAGCAGAGAGCTGGCCTGGAAGAGGGGCAACCGGGACAGAATCCGGTGCCCCGACCGGGACTAGAACCCGGTGTGCCGGCGCCGCAAGGTGGAGGATTAGCCTATTGAGCCACGGCGCCGGCTCTGTATCTGCTTCTTAATAGCTATAGCTAAATAATTCTTCATGCTTTGGAGTAATGTAATCTGGCCTCTCACATACCTCGGTAATGTTCAAAAGAAAGGTGATTTCTTTTGCATTTTACATTGATTTTCTTATTAATAGCTCTGTAATTTGTAAGAAATGGCGTAAAAGTTGGAAATCATAATTGAACATGATTTAAAGAAAATCAGATATGAATATGCTGGATACTATATGTGGAAGACAGTGTTGCCTAACTGAAAGCCACTTGCTCCTCTTGCTAACAGAATCTGATTTTTACACCAGTAGCAGTGTTCCCAACACAATAGATAATAGCATGGCCTCAAGAAGTGGTTAGTTGCAAAACCTAGTGCTCAGACCTCATCCTGCTTGATTCCAGCTCAAGAAAATCTTGGGAGGACAGGTGTTTGATGCAGAGTTAAGACATCTTTTGGGAAACCTGCATCCTGGGCCTTTATCATGAACATTAGAGGGCCTGGGTTCAAGTTCCAATTCTGCTTCTGATTCCAGCTTCCCACTGAGGCAGGGCTGGGAGGAAGCAGATGGTGGCTCAAGTTCTTGGGACCCTGCCACTAACATGGGAGACCTGGATTGGGTTCCCAGCTCCCAGCTTTGGCCTTGACCCAATCTCAGCTATCGCTAACATTTGAGGAGTCATCCAGTAGAAGATTCTCTCTCCTCCTCTCTCTCAAATAAATAAATAAAAATTTTTAAAAGTCTTCTGGTCCCCAAATATTTTCAGAATTTCTGCTTCCTGATTGTTTGGCCTTGATAGCAGCCAAGTATGGTTGACAGGTAAACAATTAAATGATGCAAAGGTATGTGACATCATAAGGAAGTCTTGATGCACTTTAGTTCTGAAAGATTGATTTAGGAATAGCCCCACTAGATTGGTTCACATTTAATCATCCCAAGGGAGAGCACTTTCTCCAGTTTCTTTGGAAGGTCAGTTCACCAATGTTAGCAGGATTAAAAAAAAAGACATATTTATTCAAAAGGCAGAATAACAGAGAAGCAGAGACAGAGAACTGGTGGTGTAGGGGGGGAGATCCTCCATCTGCTGGTTCACTCCCCCAGTGACCATAATAGCCAAGGCTAGGCCAGCAGATGCCAGGAGCCAGAAACTCCATTTGGGTCTCCCACGCGGGTGGCCTGGACCCGGGCATTTGAG